TAAACTTTTACTTCAAGAGTGATTTAATGTTTTAGTGAGTAAAAGCACTAATTCTGTTTTTTATGGCTATACAAGAGTCTGTTCAAAATAGACCTTAAGGGGATCCCTGGGTGGCTCAGCAGTTTAGCTTCTGCCTTCGGCCCAGGGTGTGATCCCGGGATCTGGAATCGAGTCCCACATCAGGCTCCCTGCATAGAGCCTGCTTCTCCCTCTGCCTGTGTCTCTGCCTCTCTCTCTCGCTCTCTCGCTCTCTGTGTCTCTCATGAATAAATCTAAAAAAAAAAATAGACCTTAAAATAGGATTTTTGAGTACATTTGATAAAAATAATCAGTACATATGTATTGCCACCAAAGCACTGAAGAGAAATCAGTCCAAAGAGTCCAGGCTTTGAGCACTGATGCCCTTTTATTTAGAGAAAGCGCAATAAAAGGAAGCATCTTGTCTACATGGAAGAAAAGATTTTAAAAGATCATATTTAGGGGTGCCCAGGTGGTACAGCTGGTTAAGCCTCTGACTTTTGGTTTCAGCCTAGGTCATGATCTCATGGGTCATGGGATCATCATGGCCTGGGTCGCGTTCCACCATCTGTGAGGAGTCTGCTTGAAGATTCTTTCCCTTTGCCCCTTCTTCCACTTGTACACACCCTCTGACTCAAATAAATAAATAATCATATTTATTTGTTTACACTCCATTCTACTGGGGTTTGGTAGGTGATACCAATGCTGGTAGGGCTTTATAGAAATTCAGTGTTCACATGTATACAACAGAAGAGGTAAAACAAAACAGAAAGCAACTCTTCAAAAAGCTTTCTAGTGTGGTGTGGCAGCCATGGAAATGGGGGCCTGACCAGCTTCCAACCACAGGGAGCATAATTGACCAAATAATGCCCCAGCTGCTGGCTTTAAAATCCAGCTTGCATTTGCAGAGGCCACACCTCCCACCAGCTGCTCCCAGCCAGTGTCTTGTGGCAGGGTTACTTAACGTACATTTGTTCCTGAAAGACCGTTCTTTTATTTTTCTTCTGTGTTTTGTTTTGTTTTGTTTTAAGAAAGGGATGGCGGGGGGCGGGGGTGAGAAGCAGAGGGAGACGGAGAAAATCAGGCAGGCTCCCTACCCAGGGCGGAGTCTGACATGGGGCTCAATCTCACAACCTTAGATCATAACCCAAGTAGAAATCAAGAGTTGGCTGGACTCCTAACTGACTGAGCCACCCAGGCACCCAAGACAAGTCTCTCCTGATCATGGATTTTGGTTCCATGACTCCCCCTCTATTTTGTCCAACCTTCATTAGACTACATGGTAATGCAGGATGTTTCTATCCAACCTTTTTTCCCTCTTCCCTTCATTTGCTTTTAGCATCTAATGGCTCTCCATGCTTTCCCTCACAGGGCATTTCTTTGCATGTTTTCATTAAAATTTACATATTTGGAGCACCTGGGTGGCTCAGTGGTTGGCCATCTGCCTTCCACTCAGGTTGTGATCTTGGGGTGCTGGGATTGAGTTCTCCATCGGGCTTCCAGCAGGGAGCCTGCTTCTCCCTCTGCCTATGTCTCTGCCTCTCTCTGTCTCTCATAAATAAATAAAATCTTTTTTAAAAATCTTTGCATATTTGATCTCATCTCAGAGGACACAGGACTGACATACGTAGAAAATAGTCCCTTGGGAAACACTGCCCTAATTATAAAATTAGCACTGTGGAACCCATCCACTAAACTTGATTTTCTGGAAAGTTCTAGTTGTTACACTTAGACTAGGCTTAGTGGCAACATAATGTGAAAATAGGTTTTAAAGTCAACTGTTTCGGGCTCCCCCTACAAGGAGCCTGCTTCTCCCTCTGCCTGTGTCTGCCCCTCTCTCTGTGTCTCTCATGAATAAATAAATAAAATATTTTAAAAATAAAGTCGGGAAAAAAAAAAAATAAAGTCGGGGATCCCTGGGTGGCTCAGCGATTTGGCATCTGCCTTTGGCCCAGGGCGCGATCCTGGAGTCCCGGAATCGAGTCCCACGACAGACTCCCAGCATTGGGCCTGCTTCTCCCTCTGCCTGTGTCTCTGCCCCCCTCTCTCTCTATGTCTATCATAAATAAATTTTTAAAAGAATCTAAAAATAAATAAATTAAGTCAACTGCTTACAAATGCCAGCTTTAATGTTTACTGCCTGAGTGTCCTTGGGTAAGGTATTTAACCTTTCTAAGCTCTGGTTTCCCCCCTTCCCACTTAGGCTTGTTTTGAGGATTAACTCAGAATGTGAAAGCAGTCAGTACATACATGACAATGGTGCTTAATCAGGAATTGTAGTGATTACTAGTTTAGAGACTTCATTCATGTATTTATTCATTTATTTGGCAAACATTGGAGTCCTTGATGTGGGTCAGGCAGAGTGTTTCCTGCTGGCATTGCATCAATGAATGTGACAGTCCCTGCTCTTAAGGCTTATGGACTGATACAGGGAAAGCAGACATGTGAGCAGAAAAATTATATATAGTGTGATAGAGGAAGCTCTGGGCATTGCAGTTATTGACAACTGTGTAAACGGGGATAAAGAATCATCAATTTCCAGAGTAAAGAGATGTTATGGTCCCTTCTTTCCAATGGTGCCAAGCACTGGGCAAGGTGCCGTGGGATGAACACATCAAACAAGACAGGCCTTGTGCTCTGGAAGCTTTCTGTCAGGGGACACACTGCATAGCAATCAGGAAAAGGCTGCTTGCTGAGACAGGGAAACGATATTACACTAATGCCCTAGGGGTTTTTCTGGTTTTTGTTTTTTAAAGATTTTATTTTGGGGATCCCTGGGTGGCGCAGTGGTTTGGCGCCTGCCTTTGGCCCAGGGCGCGATCCTGGAGACCCGGGATCAAATCCCATGTGGGGCTCCCGGTGCATGGAGCCTGCTTCTCTCTCTGCCTGTGTCTCTGCCTCTCTCTCTCTCTCTCTCTCTCTCTCTCTCTCTCTCACTGTGTCTCTCATGAATGAATAAATAAAATAAAATCTTTAATTTTTTTTTCTTTATTTATTTATGATAGTTACAGAGAGAGAGAGAGAGAGAGAGGCAGAGACACAGGCAGAGGGAGAAGCAGGCTCCATGCAGGGAGCCTGACATTGGACTTGATTCCGGGTCTCCAGGATCAGACCCTGGGCCAAGGCAGCGCTAAACCGCTGGGTCACCTGGGCTGCCCAGTTTTTTGTTTTTTAAGTAGGCTCCACACCCAACATGGGGCTTGAAGTCATAACCCTGAGATCAAGAGTTGCATGCGCTCTACTGAGTGAGCCAGTCAGACGCCCCCTAATGCCCTAGTTTGTTGTATTTGCCACTTCTCAAATTGTGGTTTCCAAATACCTACCATTTCACCGTGTTGTTTATAGCAAATTTGACACCTGACTCAAAGTCTTGCTCTTTAGTTTTGATTTCTGCCATTATCCTGGGTCATTTCAGCATATAGAACCTATCCCTTTGCTCTCGCCTCACAGTATTTTGACCTCTAGTCAATAGACCTTGACCCCCACTCATTCCAGTAAGTCACAAGGCCTTGCCTTAGGTCCTTTCATCGCCCAGAATTACTCTTCCTATGAAACCTTAACCTCTAAAGTCTTTCTGTCTTTTGCCACAGCCTTCCTTTCCTTCCTCTCTCATTCCATGACTTTCCTTGTGAACTTATCCAGCCCTCCAATTTTCTAGCATCTCTTCATGCAGGTCCCCAGGTTGCCTACTCTCCCTTCCTAGGCTACACTCCGTAGTTACAATGTTGCTCCAACCACTCTCACCAGCACTCAAAATCTGCTCACCCTTCTGATCTCCCATCCCACTTTCTCTCCTCTGCCCACATGGGAATCAGCCCAATTATTGGCCTTCTCTGCTCCTACTCCCAAGATATTGTCTACTGATAAAGAAAATCAACTAGCTACAAACTGATACCTCTAAAATGTTGTGATCTCCAACCTCACTGGGGCAAGATACTCTTGGCAAACCTTCAGAGAACCTACCCTCTCTCTTTTTCCCTTTATGACAACTTGTTCCTCACTCTCCTGGAGTACTCTACTGTCTTCTCTTATGTTCTTAGCTGTTGATCTTGCCTTTTCCTTTGAAGACTTAAAGATATGAAGTAGACTCCCAGCATCTTGCCCTCCCCTACTTATTTCTCATCCTCTCTCCTTCATGATTTTGGTATCTGTCCTCCATCTAAACTCTGAATCCTTCTTGTCTAGCGTTTTCAGGATGTCCCTCTACCTCTCTCTCTGATTTTCAACCTCTTTATGAGTACTTTCCCATAGCATTTATACATACTCCAGCTTGTCTCATCTTTAAAATCCTTTCTGCAGCTCTAAGTTCCCTTCTAACTCCACTTTTTTTTTTTTTTTTAAGTCTCTCCTGGGGTACCTGGATGACTCAGTTAAGCTTCTTGATTTCAATTCAGGTCATGATCTCATGAGTCGTGAGATCAAACCCTGCAGCAGGCTCTGAGCTCAGCATGGAGTCTGCTTGAAAATTCTCTCCCTCTGTCCCTCCCCCAACTTGTGCACATGCTCTCGCTCTCTCTCTCTCTCAAATAAATAAATCTTTTTTAAAAAATCTCTCCTTGGGTGATAGTATTCAGGAGGCCACTTGTCATGTTGAGCACTGGGTGTTAACATGTAAGTGATGAATCATTAAATTCTACTCCTGAAAACAGTATTATACTATATGTTAACTAACTTGAATTTAAATAAAATTTTGAAAATAAAATAAAACTATGCTTAATAAAAATTAAAATAATTGGGATCCCTGGGTGGCGCATCGGTTTGGCGCCTGCCTTTGGCCCAGGGCGCGATCCTGGTGACCCGGGATCGAATCCCACATCGGGCTCCCGGTGCATGGAGCCTGCTTCTCCCTCTGCCTGTGTCTCTGCCTCTCTCTCTCTCTGTGTGTGTGTGTGTGTGACTATCATAAATAAATAAAAATTTAAAAAAAATTAAAATAATTTAAAAATAAATAATGATAAATTAAAAATCTCTCCTTTTGGGGTGCCTGATTGGCTCAGTTGGTGGAGCATGAGACTCTTGATCTCACAGTGTGAGTTCGAGTCCCACATTGGGCATAGAGATTACTAAAAAAATAATAATAATAATAATTAAATCTCTCATTTGCCTCTCACTTCTTACTATACTGCAATCTGACGCATACATACCATGACAGAAATCACACTTGCTAAGAGTGCCAATTATATCTTTGTTGCTAAATCAGAAGCCCTTGTTTTATTTAACTCCCTATAAATTTGATGTTCTTAATTACATTTTTTCTATCTTGGCTGTAGTCATACTTTTCCTTTGCTCTTTCATGTTCTCTTCTTCTACCTCTGTCCTAAATCCCCAGTAAGGAGGCTTTCTTCTTACCTTGAAGATAATTATCCTGGGTAATTTATCCACTTCTTTCTTTTTTTCTTTATTTAAATTGAATTTGCCAATATAGAGTATAACACCCAATGCTCATCATATCACATGCCCTCCTTAATGCCCATCATCCAGTTACCCACCTCCTCCCCCACCTTCTTCAGCAACCCTCAGTTTGTTTCCCAGAGTTAAGAGTCTCTCATGGTTGGTCTTCCTCTCTAATTTTTTCCCACTTAGTTTCCCCTCCTTTCTCTTATGGACCCTTTCACTATTTCTTATATTTCACATATGAGTGAAACCATATGATAATTGTCCTTCTCTGATTGACTTCCTTCACTCAGCATAATCCTCCAGTTCCATTCATGTTAATGTAAATGATAGCTATTCATCCTTTCTGATGGCTGAGTAAATTCCATTCTATATATACACCACATCTTCTTTATCCATTCATCTGTCAAAGGACATCTCAGCTCCTTCTACAGTTTGCCGATTGTGGACATTGCTGCTATGAACACTGGGGTGCAGGTGTCCCTGCATTTCACTACATCTGTATCTTCGGGGTAAATACCCAGTAGTCCAATTGCTGGATCATAGGGTAGCTCTACTTTTAACTTTTTTTTTTTTTTCAGATTTTATTTATTTATTCACGAGAAACACACAGAGACAGAGAGGCAGAGATACAGGCAGAGGGAGAAGCAGGCTCCATGCAGGGAGCCCGACATGGGTCTCCATCCTGGGTCTCCAGGATCAGGCCCTGGGCTGAAGGCAGCACTAAACCGTTGAGTCACCCGGACTGCCCCTACTTTTAACTTCTTGAGGAACTTCTACACTGTTTTCCAGAGTGACTGCACCAGCCTGCTTTCCCACCAACAGTGTAAGGGGTTCCCCTTTCTCCACATCAAGGCTAACATTTGTTGTTTCTGATCTTATTCATTTTAGCCATTCTCACCAGTGTAAAGTGGTATCTCACTTCTATGGCTCCAGTTATAACTGTATTTTATGACTTCTAAATATAAATATTCAGTCAATATACTTGTATACAAATGTTTTTTTTTAATTTAATATTATTTTAAGTAAGCTCTATGCCCAATATGGGGCTTGAATTCACTACCCCAAGATCAAGAGTTGCATGCTCCACCAACTGTGCCAAAAAGACACCCCACTTGTATCCAAATGTCTTTTAGAGATTTCTGCCCAAGTGTTTAATATGGGATTACTAGCACCTTAAACTCTAGAATCTCCTTCTCCAAAAATATTCACTTATCTTGCATTCTCTCTTCTGCAGCAAATAGCAACAAAATTGCTTATCAAAGCCAGAAATCTAGGAGTAATTTTTTTTGTTATTCAATCATGCATTCAAATATTTATTGAGTATCTACCTTGTGCCACGATTCTTCCACTTTGATATCTAAATATGTCTACCTAATTTTCTCTCCATCCATCCATGTTTCTTTTTTTTTTTTTTAAGATTTATTTATTTATTTATTTATTTATGATAGACACAGAGAGACAGAGGCAGAGACACAGGAGGAGGAAGAAGCAGGCTCCATGCCGGGAGCCCGATGCGGCACTGGATCCCGGATCCCGGGACTCCAAGATCGCGCCCTGGGCCAAAGGCAGGCGCCTAACCGCAGAGCCACCCAGGGATCCCTCTCCATCTATGTTTCTATCCCTCCTCTCAATGTCTTAGTTCAGGCCTTCATCTGACCTCTTGTGGAAGAGCCTCCCAAATGGTTTGACTTTAAGATCAAAGTTGGCATATGACTGAAACGAACTATATCTGAATAAGGAATTTGTTGGAAGGCAGCCAAGGGTCAGAGAATTGATGAGGGAGCCAAGTATCAGAACTGGAAAACAGACAGAAACTGGGACAGCTCAAAAGAGCCATGAAGCAGGACATGAAACAGTGATCTTTAAGCAGAAATAATCTGGAGAGAACATGTCTGCCCACCCACCATAACAGCTAACAAATTTTTTACTTCACTTACTCCTTGATTGAAATCCCTGCTGGAAACAATCAATTGATTGACACTAGTTCATATAACTAGCTGGCTGCTAAGGCCCAGGGAGAGAGATCTGAATTCTTTAGGAAGAGGTAGGCTTTGCTTCTCGACAAAATAAATACAATAAGAAATTCCCCAAATCTTGAGTGGCAGTGGGGGTCAGGGGAAGGAGGAGGATGCTTCATGGGTTTACTCCTCTCTGTGCCTTGGCTTTCTTCTCCAGGAATTCCTAACCTCTAGCAATCTTTCCCATTCTCTGAAAGAGCTTAGAATTCATTTCCTCAGGGGAACTCCCATGACCACTCTCTTCCCACCTCAGTCTGAGTTAGATGAACTCTTCTGTATCCCCAATACCCCTTTTATATACCTCTGTCATGGTTACTTTACTGTTTACTTGACTCTTTACCTCCTTCCCCAGGTTATGGACTCTTTAAAATCAGGAACCATTTCTTAATTGGTAAGATCCAAGGACTAGCTGGAAAGGACCATTTCATATTTGGTGAGATCCAAGGACTAGCTGGAATAAGATGACTTAGTGGATAGTTTTGGAAAGCCCCAGGTCACTGAAAAGTGAAAAGAGAGAAAAGAGAAGATAGAGTGCTAGTGACAAATGAGCTATTTTGAATTTGCCTAGAACTGAAAAATCTCATCAATATATGTTGTTACATTCCTAATGATTTCCCAGCATCTTACATAACAGTGACTTCCCCTGACCTTATCATTAGGTTTTGGGTTTCTGTCTAAATTTAGGTTTGGAGCAACCCTTTTCTTGCTTCTGAGTACAACTCCAATGCTGCTTCTTCTATAAAACTTTTCCTAATTTTCCAAATGGATTTCTTCTTTACTCCTTGAGGGCAAGGACCAAGTCTGTCTTGTTAACCTAACTCCATTCCTAGGACCTGACAAAGTGCCTGGCACAGAGTAGGTAATGAATACTTACTTGACTGTGAATCACTATGGGAAGAATAAGGGTTACATTGAAAAACAAAGGAATAGGGAAGTTATAAAACCTCTAAAGTTCTTTAGCAGTCCTTGCTTTGGTTCATAGCTACTACCTCTCTCTTGTTTGGTTTGGTTTTGCTTGGCTTTTTTTGAGACTTTATTTATCTATTTAACAGAGAGAGATAGCACAAGCAGGGAGAAAGGAGAAGCAGGCTGCCCACTGAGCAGGGAGCCTGACATGGGGCTCAATCCCAGGATCCTGGGATCATGACCTGAGCTGAAGGCAGATGCTTAACAGACTAAGCCGCCCAGGTGACCCTGCCCCTCTCTTGTTATGCTACCTGAAAGTGTTAATTGATCGCTACCCAATCTTCTACTCCTGACTTATTCTATTACTACTAGCCCTACCCACCATGTATAACCCTACCTCCACAGCTGCAATAATCCTGTTTTTATCAAAACATTATAAATTACTCCTAGAAGGGTGATGTGAAGAGTTTTGTGGACCCACACTCCAGCAAAACAAATGTAACTGGTGAAAATGATTTTTTTTTTTTTTAAAGAGCTCCCTTCATGGAGCCTGCTTCTCCCTCTGCCTGTGTCTCTGCCTCTCTGTCTCTCATGAATAAATAAAATCTTTTTTAAAATATATAATAAATAAATAAATAATAAATAAATAAATAAATAAATAAATAATTTTAAAAAGGGATGCCTGGTGTCTCAGCAGTTGAGCATCTGCCTTCAGCTCAGGGCATGATCCAGGTCTAGGACTGAGTCCCTCATCGGGCTCCCTGCAAGGAGCCAGCTTCTCCCTCGGTCTGTGTCTCTGCCTCTCTCTCTCTCTCTCTGTGTGTATCTCTCATGAATAAATAAATAAAATCTTAAAAAAAAAATTGTGGGGAAGTTCAAACCTAAGAGAAGTCTTGAAAATAATGGTGGCTAAAAACCATGTTTAAAGGCTCTAGAAATTGCCCTAAAGGCATATAGTAAGTGAAGAAATACTCATTCAAGAAAATCTACTAAAATTTAGTAAGAACAGAGTCTGTAGCATGTTAAGCCCCTACACATTCTCAACCCCACCTCCCATCTAACTCAGTGTGACAGAAGCTACACTCCTAGCTAGTGTGGTCAAGAAGGTGGGGCTCACGCCAGCTATCAGTCAAGGATATCTTCTTGAGAAGGGCAGGCCACTAGTATTCCTCATCCCCTCATCCCCTCATCTCTGTGTGTACTAGGCTAACTTCCAGGTGAATATCACTGAGAGGCTAAGACACCCTTCCTCCAGCCACCCCGCTCTTGTATGTTAGAGGTTGCACCCCCAAAGAGCAGACCAGAGGTTACACCCCCCAAGCACTCTGCTTGTAAAGCTGACTTTATTTTAAACAATTGTGGGATAAGTAAATAAAATCTTTAAAAAACAACAAAAACAACAACAACAACGAAAAAAAAAAAAAAACGACATGTGGGTGGCTCAGCAGTTGAGCATCTGCCTTTGGCCCAGGGAATGATCCTGGGATCCGGGGATTGAGTCCCACATTGGGCTCCTTGCAGGGAGCTTCTCCCTCAGCCTGTGTCTCTCCCTCTCTCTCTGTTCCCTCATGAATAAATAAATAAAATATTTTTAAAAATTTGTGGGAAAGTTCAAACCTAAGAGAGGTATTGAAAATAATGGTGGTAAACAGTTAAGGGGAGCCTGGTAGCTCCAAGAGATCAGAGAACATCATAAGCAAGCTAGTTTATCATTGAGAACTAAGGAAAGAAAA